ACAGACTTAAGAAGGGCTTAACCCTCTTAGTGCCGATTGAAGTTTTCGCAAGTGTTGCTAGCAACGACATATCGTTGCTCGGCACTAAAAGGGTTAAATAACCTTAGTCAAGATATTCAGTTCTACCGAGTATTGGGAATATCCACCCCCGAGCATTGTTATTTTATATTGTTACGTATCATCCATGTGGACAATTTTTCCAACTCGCTTCAATTGAATATGACCATTCTCTCTCTCCATGTGGAAATAATGTCTTATCTTAGTTGACGAGATATTCAGTTCCATCGAATGCTCGGAAGATCCATCCTCGAGCACTCTTATTATACACTTTTCAGTTATTTTAAGCGTCGACGATAATCATAGAAAAATGGACGGTATACCCGAAGGCGGTGCAAGTGCACTTCGCGAAGCAACTTAGTAAGCGAAGTGCCCCACGGCAAGATTACGGGAATCAATTGAATTTCCAATCGTTTTGAAAATGCATTATCGTTTCCGGCAGTTACTTGCACGTATCGAGAGCTATCGATCTTCCATTGCTTTCATCTCCCCCCTCCGTTCCTCCTTGGGCTTCCAACAATGAAAGGAACTCTCTCGCGAGTGTTTCTTCGAGGCTACGTCGTTACCGTACAAAGACGTATCGCTCTCGCGAGCGGCCTTTCTCAGAGATGCATACATATCAACACTATCGCGAACAATGTTCCCTCTCGAAGTATCGGCGAGAGAAGAGCTTCTTTTTGCATTTATCACCTCGGGCTTGCGGTTTCTCGGTGCTCGCTCGCGAGATTGCGTACAGATGCCTTTCTGTTTTCCTCCTCGGCCGCTCCATTGCAGTCGGGTGCTTGCAGCTGCACCCGCCTCCCCGTTTTTCTCTCTTTTTTTATCCCCCTCCGCTTCTTTCGTACATTTTTTATCTGTCGTGTGGTCATCCGCAGTATACCATAATTTCCCAGTGATACGATAAAACTGTACAGCTGTACTTCTCTTGTTTGCGCTTATTTCTTTCTTATCCTTTTAATGCACCTCTCATGGGTCTTTCGCCGGCCTCGGTATATAATGCGCTCTTGGCAACGACGTGACGCGCTTTGACGCGGCCTTAAGTGCATCAACGGGCAAGTTTTCGTAAATCGCGGGAACAATGTCAAACTCTAATTACTTAAGAGGATGTGGAAACGACGGCGAAATTCCCCGGGCGAAACGTCCCTCAAGGGTGACAAAAACTGACGCTGTCGGGGTATACATTGTACGTCACTTGAGAACAGCTTAAAGTCGAATGTTGATACATTTTTCGGGATATAGTACATTTCAGGCGATGCAAAAGTTGCATCACATCATCGAATCGTTTGTGGAACATTTTCTCGAACCGGGTGGGCGTACTCGTGTGAAATTTTGCGACTTGAATATGCAGGCCTTAAGGAATGTCCTAACATCCATGAAATACATATTTGTATAAAAAGTGTTCAAAAATGTTAACGAGCAAATTTTAGAAAATGACCTATCATGGGTACGAGGACCTTCTTAGAACCTGCATATTCACTTTGTGAAATGTTAAACGATTACGTAGTAATTGGGAGTAAAGTTTCATAAACGAGACTCCACTTTCCCCCCACCTTAAACAAGTGACGGCTTAAATGCGTCTAGCTGTGCCGATTTCCGAGGAAAAAAGGAAACATGTACAGCAGCGCGAATACATTATTTTCCCCCGATCACGGATACGCGAGGAGTTGTTAAATGAAAGCTCTCTCCAAAGAATGGAACTTTCACGGCCGACTCGCCGTCTCCGTATGAATACTTAATAACGAGACGCCGAAGTGTCCGAAAGTTTTCCGCAGCGGTTAAATGGCGCGTCTCGTATCGGCGGGAGTTTCGCATCGGCCCGACTTCTGCTCGCCATGTCTACGGAATTCAATGCTCATTGTTAACTCGGTGCGAATGTCGGATATATACGGAACACTCCTTGGCGCACTTTAATCCCGAGGTAGCATTTGCCTTCACGTCTTGCGGACTGTTTCAGCAAATTCGCTATCACCGCGCTCCGCCCTATTTCCGAGCTCGCGTGGCCCTTTCAATTCCTTGCTCTTAATTCCACCCCCGAAGCCGCCGAGCGAAAGAGCGAAGGCCGGGATCCGGAAGAGAGAGGGGAGAGACGAATAGACGGGGTGGAAAGGAGGCGCCATAAAGCCCGAGGAAGACGGAACGACGGATCCTCGTAAGAAAACTCGATCTCTCCTCTCCTCCCTCTCTCTCTTTCTCTTCCGTTCTACCCCTGCCGACCGAGAATTGGGTCGCAGGGTTGAAAGCCGCCACGGGGTGGCGACATTGCGACAAACCGACGACTCTTCGACCGAGGCCGAGGGGGTCGACCGACACCCCTCCCTTATTTAGCCTTCGAGGCCAGAAGTACTCCTTCAAATCTTCCCATTGATCCAAAACGATGCACCCCCCGTCACCCACACCTGTTTTTCGCCCTTCCGTTTAGGATCATGCTCCTCGAATAGTAGGAGGCGAAATCATCCCCTTCTCGGCGCCACGCCTTGTACTCTTGGCGGTATCGAAAGGAAATGTTTTTCACGTCTGAAAAAGAAAACCAACTTAGACCGTGCTGATGGATTTTTCAAGGCTTGTTTAATTCTTCATTGTGATGTCAACCCAATTTTTTTTTTTACATGACTGATGCAACGTGGATTTTGCAAATATTTAACTTATGGTATTAACGGTTTATGTATTCATTATTTATGTATGAATTTTAGATTCGTAATTCAATTTTTTGGCCGAAAAGGGATGGAGCGGTAATAAAGGTGTCACGTTACCTTGAGCGAAAAATGAGTTGACTAAAACAATTAATGCATATTTATTTGAGTCGATCAATTGTTTTTTTTTTTTTTTTTCCAGTGTAAGTTTTGTCGGAGAAGTCAAGAAAGACTTAACAATTATGTGATTTCGAAGTTACGTTGCGTTGTGGTGGGTTATTGTATTTATACTTTTAAGGGAATACTCTTAGAAGGAAGTATTTTTGGACGAAATGCTCCACCCGTTTTGCCAGATTTTGGGGTTGGATATATTCTTCAAGATCCTCTTCATTGATCCAAAATGACGAGGCTGCTCCCCTTCTCGCCCACGACTGTTTTTCGCCCTTCCGTTTAGGTTCTCGGATAGTCTTCGGCGAAATCATCCCCTTCTTCCTCCCTCACCCCTAACTCTTGAGGGTATATCGAGCGGTATCGAAGATGAAAGTTTTTTGACGACTGTAAAAAGAAACCAACTTCTTAGAAGGTGCCGAAGGATTTTAAGGCAAGAAAAGGTCTTTGAAACCTTCCCTACCGGTCCAAGGGTATGAGACTGTCTTCTCCGTCATTCGAGTTTTTCACCCCTAGGTTTGCCGCTTGTTTAGTCCGTCATTGTCATGCTAATGCGTTATATACCTTCAGAAGGGCACATTGTGGAATGAAATATTAATAGACAAGAGGCTCGACCTATTCTGTCGAGCTTAGAGGTTGGATATATTCTTCGAGATCCTCTTCATTGATCCAAAATAGCGAGGTTGAACCCCCTCGATTACCGGCACCTGTTCCGCCCTGCCATTATAGGTTTTCGCTCTCAATGCGATTCTTGGTAAAGTTACCGCGTCCATGTTTGCCACGCCTTGCACCCCATACTTGTGACATACTACAATGATCGGGTGTAGACTAACTGTCGAAGCGGTATGAAAATTAATTTCCGTCGGTGTTCTTAGTGATTAAGAAGAATCAATAACAGCAAGAAACGGTTACACGCTCTAAGATTGCTTAGACAATCTGTGACGTGAAAAATGTTAATTACGGCATTGGACTCGGCAAATGGATGATAAATGTCTCGTGGACTCGACACTGGTGTACGCCGAGCTTAACGGTCATTGAAGTTAAAGTGGCATCATTGAAGATCTCCGCCTCTTTCGGAACCTTTTGAGGTTGCATTTCCTCTCCTTTGTGCTCGTCCCTGCTCTTCCGTGGGGGTTGCCCGGAGGTAGCTGGAAAAGAAAAATGTAGACTTGAAATTTCCGATGATTCATCGTTTCGGGTCTTTTATGGTCCGCATTCCAGAGATTCAGGAGGAGTCGCAAGAGGCGCTAGAGGCTCCAGGGAGAGAGGGAAACGGACCGGCACAATGGTTTCGGTCTGTCGACGGTGTCAATATATTAGTTCCTTTTGGACCCGCGATCGGATTGTCTACCTTTTATTTATACCCGCGTTGTGGATGCTCCGGCTAAGGAATTTCGAAGAAACTTCCGATGACTCACTGCTGAGGGTCCTTCATACGTTATGCTCAAGGATTGGCGGCGCGAAGGCGCGAAGAGGGTTCTATTGATCAACCGCGCATGCGCTGAACGATTTCCTGTCACCCAACGTAAAAACACAATAAATCTTAATGCACCCTCAACAATTTCTCAATTCCCCCTCGTTATCTACCGTAAAACAGAAAATCAAGCTTTACTCTCTTACCTCTTTCATAAATTCTATCAACTCTTTCATAAGAACTATCCGTCGACTTGGGCGCCGCCATCTTGGAAACGGGCGCGGCTGGTCCCATAAATACCCTCATTGACTTGAAATAACAAGAATTTTATTAGTCATACTTGTCAATATTTTCTCAATTCCCTTCATAATTTCCCATAAGACAGAAAATAAAGCATTACTCATACCTCTTTCACGAATTCAGTCATTTCTTGCATAGAAGTTCCGTTGATTAGGCGCCGCCATCTTGGAAACGGGCGCGACTGGTCCTACAAATGCACTCATTGACTTGAAATAACGATAGCGTTTCGGTCTCACTTGCCAACAACGTGTCGCGGATTGCATTAGGCAGCGCATAAATATTCGGGTTATAAAGTATTCCACGGTTCGCGGCGTCGAGTGGCGCTCGAGGCTCGTTCTGTAAACAAGGTGTTTCACGCCGCCTTAAGGCCACTCGAACGCGGGAGCCGCGCCAGGAGGCAAGGGCCGGAACTGATTGGGTCGATGTTCCAGGTCCGAAAGGCATGCGGCCGTTCGGAATTGAAGCCCACCGTGGCCGCGACGACACCGGAAGCGGAAGGAGCGGACCGGAAGCCGGCCGCAGCGCACGTGCCGCAGCCGCTGTCCCCGCCGTCCGGGTCGCACAGACTCCCGACGCAACTCCACCTCCAGCTCGGCAACTTCCTGGCAAGCGTCATCAGGTCGCGATCTTTCTACGCCACCCTCGCCGACACGATCTGCGAGGATTATCGATACGGCAGCTGCTGGAACGGCGAACACATCGGAGAGTAAGTGTCTGAATAATATCCTGCCTCGAACAAAGATGGCGGGCCGCCAGGGTTGACGGCAGTGAAATTAAATCCTTTATTAAAAATAACGTACATTGACATTACTTTCGATAAAAAGACCGATACCTCGCTTCAGGTGAGGTGAAAGGTCTAGTTTATGAAACTTTTTTTCCGAACTGGGTGGACCGAATCGTTTTAATCACTGCAATGTGAATATAGAGGCTGCAAGGAAGGTCCAGACTCCCATGAAATTTTACGGTTTTTTATTAAATTTATATATAGAGATTTTTTTTATTTTTTGTGAAAAAAGGAAATTCCATGGGTATAGGGACTTTCCTTAGAGCCACCATATTCAGATTGTAAAGTTTGAACCGATTCGATACACCTAGTTCGGAGAAAAGTTTCATGGATTATTGGAATCCTTAGATGCCACTTTCATATCCCCTTATCAGTAAGCCTAAGCATAATAGTAAGAATTGTCCAATCAAATTGCCGAAGTAGGACGTCGGATAAATTGTTGCACAATTTAATTTGCCACATCTTACCGTTATGCCGACGGTCACTTACACGATTTTTAAATCGTTCTTTCTGTTAAAAGGAAAAAAGTGCGCTAAATTTCAATTGTTTTCTACTTCGATATCTTTGTTTAACCCTTTCGTCCCGGCGTGTTTTCTCTGTCCGGAAATATGTACATAAAGCGTGGGTACATTTTTAATAAGTAAAGATGCGCGTAGATTTTTTTATTTATACATGAGATTGTTTTGCCGAAGGTTATTTAAGGATCTCAGTTCGAAGGAACGGTGTCTTAGTCTTGTACTCGGAAATGTAAATTAATTGTGGACGAGTTGCCGACATAAACATCGGATTGCGGCACTGATGAGCCGGTCATGCTCGGTGGTCGGACAAAATACAGGCGTTCTCAGGACACTCGCGTTACAAATTGGTCGAGAGGGTATAGTGGCTGCATTGATGCGATATGAGAAATGTTTTCCTTCCTTCCCTCGAGACGTCTATATCGATTAAGCACCGCTTTTTGTCCCCTTGATCTTGATTGCGTGAAACGGGTAAATAAAAGTCAGCAAACTTTTTGCCCACTTCTTCTGGCCCCGGCAACGAAGGCTCCAAAAGGTCTTTGATTTTAATATCCGAAAATCCCACATAAAGAGGAACAAAAACACCGACCCGTTCGTATCAATTAAACTACTGCACTTTGTAAACTTTAATTTGTAAATCCTGGTTTCGTGCCTAGTCTTCGTCCGCCGATTTCCCGCGAAAATGTATTATTGTTAGCGGTACATTGTTCATTGTCGCTCCACTGAACAATGATCTTGTCCGCCATTGAAATTTCATTTGCAACGTTGCATCCCCCAGCTCTACGCCACTGGCGAACAAATACTCTCTCGAATGTCTGCTTCGTGACAGTGTCTCTCTTTCACTCCGATAAACGCAACCGTTTAAAACGTTTTCGCGTGAAAACAGGTCTGATCGGCTTTCAAGTAAAATTCAACGTTATTTCGCGCGAAGTACCCCACGAGTAGGCGAGCAAGAACAATAGGTTTTGTTGTAAAGTGCCATTTGCGGGATTGCGTTAAAGGTTCCCTCGAAATCGGGTGCAGCGATTTTTCCGCGGTACGGTGCACGTCGGACGGTACGTCGGAATTAAAATAAATTAAGAATCGAGGGGTATGTTTTCACCATCGACCCACATTCGCCAAATACCTGGCTCGTCCAGGGAAGACAAAGACTATAGAACGTTAACTGTCTCCAGGTATACGAAGACCATCGTCGACTTCAGCCCCTCGGCCCAGAGGTATAATCCGGAATTCACCATGGTTGTGTCAACCTCCTCGACGATGGCTCCCTATGGAAATCCGAATGCCAGCAAGCTAATAGATAAGCTAAGGCACATTATTTCGGTGCGTGTTACGAGAAAGAGTGAAACCAGACGTTGGCACATATAGATAAGACCTACGACCGCGAGCGGACGACGACCGTGCAGCGATTTTGCAGTTAGATAATAAAATTCCCACTCCACCTTAGCCTTAAGCAAAAAGTACACCGATATGCGGAGACAATTTTTCATGATTCAAGCACTGCTTTTCGTTGGACGCACCGTCGCTCGTTTTACTACTTAGAATAAGTCTAATTTATTTGTCGGAGTAGGAATACGTAACTAGATAACCGCGCCATAGCTAGGATTTCGAGTATTAAAATCCATGATTTCCTGAGTGAATAATTCCTCGGAATTTTTTTTTTTTTTTTCGTGTAATACGGTACACTCGACCGTACCGATATCAAAATTCGACGGAGAATACCAGGCAAATTTTCCTGTAATTTTTTCGACGCATGTTGATTTTATTGCGTCTTGCAGGTGATGCAGTCGCAGTTGATAAGCACGCCGGATAGTGGAGCGCTGCTCGCCGACGAGGGTCAGGATGGCTCTGGAAGTGGCATGGGCTCAAGCCGACGTGGCGGAGATGACTTTTTCTCGAGCGGCTCCGTCGTCGACGACGACGACGAGGATGACGATTATGATCGGCACCGAGATCGAGGCAACGAATACGAGGCCTCGGGCTCGGGGATGGGCCCGTCCACGTCGGGTACGTGCTCTCAAAATTCACCCCTCCATCTTTATAAACCTAAACGGGTCGCAAACTTTTAAACATCGTGAAAATAAATCACCTATAAACAAGACAAAGGAATTCTTATAACGGACTTTGACTTGTTATTAACAGCGATATAAGCTGTGTGCGACTGAGTGTAGCGCAAATGGCAAACGGAAGGAATTAATATTAATAGTAAATAATAGTATTTTCTTGAAAGCCTATCGCTTATAGTTGAACTAATTCCTGCAACAATCTAGAGCGCTACTTATTCGCCCATTGACATAAAGGATTATTAAGAAATGAAATATAAAATTATTTGCGCAAATCAACTCCCTCTTCAATTGCTGACCAAAGTCTAAAACCGACTGTGGTTAGAGATTATCTTCGCAAACTCAATCCCAACTGCCACAAGGTTGTGTTTGACTTGCAACGCCCACACAAAGTCAATTCCGCTGTAGAGATTACTTTATCAAAAAACATTCGGACTGTCGGTGTTAATTTCGCTTAGAATGTAAATTTCTCCCTTACAATTAGGGTAGATAATCTAAACATTTGAGTCTCGTTCTAAATTCTTGTTCTCCATTTTACAGACGTTACGATGGAGACACCGCCCGAGACGAATACCACGAGCGCCGCGACGACCGCCGCCGCCTCGACGCTCCTCCTAATCCTAGTCGGAACCGCGGGTTCCCTGGGCGCGTAACTTTGTTGGGAAAGTCGGCCTCGCCGGGTCTCGTGTAGGAGACCCGTGGGGTCGAGTGGACGGTGGACTAATCCTTGGCGGATTACGACGGCGAAGGGTGCGGATCGGCGAAGCCGCGAGATTGCGGCTTCTGCCCGTCTTCGAGGAAGGCGAGGTCGACCGATCGCGACACTCCGTTGATCCCAGCTCGAGCTCGCGCGTCCCGAGAGGGAAATCGTCACGACCCTCTCTCACGACTCGGAAGAGACGCGAGTTTCGAGTTGTCAGCTCTCGAAGATGCGTTTAAAGTCGATCGCGCACATCCGGTCGATACGCGTATCGTGTCCCCGCCGTGCTGGTCAGTACCCGAATGCAAAGTACATTATCAAAACCATGTAGTTCGTGCTCCAAATTGTTAACGCATTGAATTTTCTACCCTACTCGGCGTGATGAAATTTGAAACCAAAGTGCTTTCATACACCACAGCAATAATCGCGGACTGTTTATTGACTCGTATCGAATGAAGTAGATGTTTTGTCAAATCAGACGGAACATTGTGTACATTGTTAAACGCAACGAAATTCTGTGCCATCGGTGTTGATCCGATTAGATTCCCTAACGTACTTGGCGCGATGAAATTTGGACATAAAATTCTGTCGTTTCTCGATTTTTCTTGGACGGAAGCACGGCAATAATCGCGGACTGTTTATTGACTTGTGCCGAATTATAGCAGATAGTTTTGTAAGATCTGGCTAAACTCTGCGAGCTCCATAGAGGCATGTAAATATGGAACACGGCGATGTCTCTGATCAGCACGAGCAAGTGATGGAAATGCGCGAATCGACTTTTAGCGCCTTCGAAAATACGTAGTTAGTTTGCGAGTACGCCTTGCTCGACGCGACGAGATTCGCGTTCCGATGCCTGTCTCGCGTTCGCGCTGGACAATGAAATTACGGTCAGTCGACTGGATCGACAAGGCTGAGTTTTAAGTTCTTATCAAATTCAATTCGCGGAACCGTTCCTCCTGTTTCGTTTCCATAAGTCACGGGTCGATGAAATCCGACTGGCCGTAAAATCTTGACCGTGTCAGCGCGACCCTCGCGATCGAGGACTCGCGGCCGAAGCTTTGCTTGGCGCAATATAATATTTAGGAAGACCGAGTGTCTAATTTAAAAAGGAATAGTTAAGGCCTAGCGTCGGACCCAGGCCGTGGGTGTCCTTTTGAGAAGATTTTACGCAAACCTCGAAAAGAATCTTCGCAGAGGTTTCAATCCGTAATCGACACATCTTTCCATATACGCTGAGTTATTTTATTTATACATTAAGGGGACGCGAAAATGGCATTGAGGGGTCAACAATTCATGAAATTTCTCTAATCTAAATGCCGAGTCTTTTCTTACCTTTCAACGTGAATATGGAGGCTATAAGGAAGGTCCGGACACCCATGAAATTTTATTTTTCTAACAATTTCTAAACTGTCTATAAACAAATTTAAAAAGAAAAGGAATTTCGTGGTTGTCAGGACTTTTTTTATAGTCTCCATGTTCATGTTGCAAGGTTTGAAATGGTTCGGTACATCGGGTCGGGAGAAAAGTTTCATAAACGAGACCTCTTCGCCGCCATTTTCGCATCACTTTCAAGAGACTATCCAGTCCAATTGTTTGTGATAAATTTAACGAATTCGATCCTTAACGAGATTTGTTATAACTAGAAGACCCGACTTCTACGCTTCGCGGTTGTGATAAACCCCACTCGGTTCTAACGATTTAATTAGCGACTCTATCGGAAGTGTTTACTGTTACCAGTTGAAAGCGTGCTGCAACCATCCTTTCAGAGGAGAGTTTGCGTAAAGTAATTTAAAACGGACAACGAGGTCCAGCTGTACCTCGCAGCACGCGGCCTCTTGTACATATATATACTACATTCGACTCCGAATCTCCGAGGTCAGTGCCTTTTCGTATATCTCTTGGCTGTACGGAGTATTCGCGCTGAAAGCGTATCCCTTCGAGTCTTATTTTCACAGTTCTTGGTTTCGCGACTGCTTAAGCTCGGAATGGGCAAGAGACAGCTTGTACGATGACGAAGAGTCGATTTTCGCATCACTATTCGTCCTAAAGCAGCCTCAGGTCCTACCGAGTAGCTTCGTCTAACTACAGCGACTAAGAGACGAGTCAAATAAATCCATTTTGGAGTTCGTCCGGCAGCCTTTAATTTTAACGACGATGATTTCACTGTACCATATTGGCGTTCTTCCTTGCCACGTTAGGTGCCCGATGTAGCTGCAATTGGAACGACTGCATGCATCCTCGCGACTACTAAATTAAGACTTATTTATTCGTTCTTTTTCCTTTCCTTTTTTTTTTATTTAGTGCAATCGAGCGTGCGTTCTTCTTTCTTTTTTTTTACTCGCTGAGATGAGCTTTTTCGTATCTGTGTTAACCGAGTCCCTTTATCCGTTTCTTAGCTGTATCATTGTCTAGGAGCGAGCCTACGGATAGTGTCATATAATGGATCGAGGCATGAGTTCCTGCGGTTCTTTCGTTCAGATCTTTAAATTAAAAAGAAAGTAAAAGCCCGCCCGAACTTACGCCTCGACTTAAAAGATTCGAGGGCCGCTCGCAGCGAAGTCATAGACTGAAGCGTTTCGTCGAACTCTCCGAACTCTCTCGTTTCCTCGGTCCATGTAAAAGTGAGACGTCCTGCATTTGTATCCGCCTCCGGTTCGTTTTTACCCGAAGAGGCTCCAGATTACGAGTCCTTGCGATCGCTGCTCGATCGTTGCTAGTTGCTCGATCGTCGATCGAGGGGCTGCTCACTCGGAAATCGGTGGAAACGATTGCCTTCGATTTCATACGATAAACAATGTAATTCGGTAACAAGGTGTTAGACCTCAAAATTGTGACAATGTTTCGATGATTTGTAACGATTCCCAGCTGATTTCCGCGTGACTTCTCGCATGAAAATCCATGATTTCCTGAGTAACTGACTCCTCGTCGTCGACCGTCAATCGTTACTCGTTACTCGATCGCTGGGAGGCACAAATTATGAGTCTGGGTTATTTACCGGATTTCGCGTAAACGTTTCGAGGAGTCTTACCCCTTTTTTGCAGATGTTTTTGGGACAGGAGCGACGCAAGGTTTCTACGTATCGCACCTGCTGGTGCAAGTCTTAATCCGGCCTAGTCCTGAGCGTACAGTTTCCTTCGTCAGCTCCCTATTGTGCTTACATGATTCTAGGATATAAGATAGGTGATTACAAGCGCGACAAGAGATTACTGTAGGAGACGGTAGATCTACAAGTAAGGCCAATCGAGGTGCGATATGTAAACCGATACCGAGGTAGATGTAAGTAGGTGAGGAGTAACGACGAGCACCGTAGTTCCAGCTCTTGCACACTTTACTTCGTTCCCTGTGTCAAGTCTGTTGGGTCCACTGCTGGACCGAGTATTCTGATCTGTAGTCAAACTAAGATTAGAAACCAGGCGTTGATATTCGCATCGCGAACGGAGTATTGTAGGTTGCCGAAAGTTCTGTTCCGCTGCCCGCCGTTATTGCTCAATGAAAAATCGGCCTGAGGCCACTGTATCGTGCTGACGCCACTGCTTCTAACACGGGTACCATGAAGAAAGCCTAAAAAAACCTCCACTAGACTGCTAGCCGACGCAAAATTTCTGTGTAAAGAAGTAGCCTTAGCTGTAACCTGGAGTAAACTCACGTTTAAATTAGGAATTCGTCCTTGTGTTGCACATACCGAGCATACCGAGCACGCGTTTTCGTCGTTACCAGGGGAAACGATACGCCATTAGCCTCTCCCTTGTTTACCCGTAAAAAATGCATTTAAGTAGCATATTAACCGCAACATTTGCAGGGTCTGTTTAAGGTGAGACTCGTTTTACGGAATTTAAAAGGGCCGCCTTTCTTTTCATTGCTTAGCTAGCGGTTTAGGTTGTAACGCAAAGATCTGCGCCTAACGACAGAACTCTTGTCTCATCATTCCTCTAGAGGTGCCCTTTGTAGCAAGTGACTTGTATGCACACCTTTGCCTGCATTGTACACATCGAGCCAAATGTTTTGTTCGAAATCAGAGGCGTTAATGATAACGACGGTTGTTGGGGGCTAAAGTACGATGTTCGCGATTATTCGTTTGTGCCAAAAATGTTTTCAAGCTTCCATGACTAACGACTGCAGTATTATTTCTTTTCTTTTTTCCTTTGTGTCGGCGAAATTCGAGGATTTCTTATGTAACGTTGTGTAGGAAGCTTTTCTTTATCTAAAACGTTGAGATTGGAGGTAAATGACGTTGCTCAAAAAAGTTGACTTTTCCAAAGATAAGCCCGTCGCTCGTATTGGGTACACAAGGAGTGTTTTTGCGAACCAATTATTTATTGTCTGTAATGTCGTTGCTAACTCGACGGTGGGGTGGGGGGTTGGGGGTGGAAAAAGTGCGATATTTTCTCTTCTTTTCTCGCCCTGGAATATCTAGAACATGGCAGATGTTCGCGATACAGTTCCATTAACTGTAAAATTGTACCGTGACGGTATACCGTGCGGTTGTAAGCTAAGTGATACCTGCGCTGAGCGTCAACGATCTTAAATGCAACCAGTGCATCTTGTGATGCGCAAATAAAATATTCAACTAACGAAAATACATTGACTGTCCTTCGCTCTTCCCTTAAGTATTTGTTTCCTCGAATAATGAACTCAATCTTGAAAATAATCGACGAGTAAATCCAATGATAACGTGATCACAATATATGTACATTTCGCGTATACATGATTCTCGTACATTGTAACGACCTTCGATGCGGCCTCTCTCGTTTTTCACAGCTATTTACATCAGGAACGTTTCGAGTAGTTTAATTAAATTTTCAAGACCCTCTAAGTAATTGCTATCTACGGAATCATCCTCTGCGGGGAATATGTGGGCAAAATCAATCATTTTGACCGTCACCCACTGAGGCTGTCTTTGATTACAGATTCTGGGCTCGTACCCATGGCAGTTTGTTCCTCGAACCTTCTTTGCATTTAGTCTATTTATGTCCAGTTTAGTGTAATTGTTACGTTCTAGTTTAGTAGTCGGCGTGATACCTCTATGCTCTGGGTCTTTATTTTTTCTTTTTCCCCTGGAGAGTCGAGACATCAGTGGGGTAGACTGAGCTTGGAAACACGCAACGCGAGATCTCTTCGAGTTCCTCGATCTCTCTATAGGACTTCCTTTGTTTTCGCCGTCGTTTCCGTTCTGGTTCGTTAACGGATTTTGATCTTGATAATCAGGAGAAGTAGGACGACTGGAAACCAGAGTGATTGCAGAAGAAATAGACAGGTTTCTGGATGACTGTATGGTTTCTACTTGGCAGAGGCGAGAATTTGGTAGACCAGGAAGAGGTTCAACTATTGATGACAATCGAGAATCCGTAAAATTTGCAGATTCTATAGATCCTCCTATGAAAGACTGCAGTACCGAAGCATCGTAAACGACTAATAAGGAGCTTGAATAAAATCTTAGTTTCTTCTGGTGGCGGAAAATGCATCGGATGCGTCTTAGTTGTGTTAAAAGCTGTTCCATTAAAACGGGATGTGGTCGTTCATCATGTTTTGCGTTCAGAAACATCCCAAGAGCTAATTGATAAACGTGATTTTTTAGTGAATACTCAATATGTTACTCTACATTAAATAAATATTTAACAGCAGCAGTCATTCGAATGAAGAAAAATTCATTTGCAGTAAATTTACCTTCTACAATTGTCTCGGCATTCAGAGTCTTGCCAAAGTCCTTGCCATACTTTCTTAAACAGCCAGTGGAAAGGCAGTAAACTTGAAAACCTGGAATGCAGAAACCATAGACTCCTTTTGATTCTGCGTACTTGCACTTTTCATATGCTTCTTTCTCAGAGCTTGCTAATGGATCCCATGTACGTCTTCCAATTTTGATATCCATTACGCATGGCTCAGACATTCCTGCTGTTATGTCTTGCAGAACAAGAAATTTTACTCCTGAAAAATGAGATAGTACAGAAACAATGTGCTAATCGTATAAAACTAACAGATTGGCAGTGCATATTAATAAAATTAACTTACGGTTTCCAGAAATATTCATCTCCGTTGTTCCATAATACCTGGGTGTGACCTGTCGTAGCTGACGCATCAAGGGATCCGCAGTGTCCTGTAATCGTTCGTAAAAAGCGATTTCTCTTTCGCTAAGAATTTTTTTTGCACAGGACTTCAATACACGGCAGTCTCTTCCTCGCAATATACCTGGGGATGCCATTTACGCGTGAACTTTTTGTAACCGCTCTTATGCTGTTTATGCAGTGTATTTTATTATATTATTTATTTATCGTATATATAAGCCATAATAAAAACACTATGGGCATAAAGGCCGCAACAGTTAAGACATACATTAATCCATAAATAGTTTAATCATAAATTCACTAATATTAATAAGATTCACATTAATCACTAAAAATTTGTGTGGTCTTTAATGCAAGTGATGCAAATGTATTCGGTAGCAGTCAGGCCATGAATTTAATATATAGCGTTACCATAACAAATAGAACTACATAACTGCTTACCAATTAAACCACATCGATCGCTGAATGCATGTCCTCCGACTTGAGAATCTAATGGCACCATTCCATCAGGCAATTTATAAGAGATACTTGACGATCCATTAGAAAAATTCTGACATTCCCGTTTCGCAGATCCCATAAAATTCTCCAGGTCGTGAGTCGCCATAACTCCACTGAAATAATCGTAATAAAAACTTTCCAAAATACTTAAGGAATGATTAACATCTTTACTGCGATATATATATTCAGTCTATTTGTATAATCCTGTTTCATGGAAATATGAATGTTAATGATATTTTGTTCAATGTAAGAGGTTTTACGTCAATGTGCATTACCAGTTGTAAACTTTCTTGATACAGGGGTCTGCACTTCTTAGCGAATCAACACTGACTAATGCTATTTGACTAACGAGCTTGACAGTCTGACTAATCGCTTCGTACACCACATGACGGGCAATCACGTGTACACACTTTACGTTCAAAAGCAGGAATGTACACCGAAGTATGTACTAGTATCAGTAAGGTTCCGAAAAAGTAATCAAGTAGAACGGTGTGGAGGTCACACAATAAAGAAACCTAGGATTATAAAAAATCATTAATCTTTATCAACCATTCTTTACAAAACCTGAAATTGACTTATCTTCATCTTTAGTTTATGGGATGTAATATCACTCCAATGTTACTACTTACTGAATCGTCGAAACAGTTGTCATTTTTCTAGCTCTAGGCGGTAAAAGCACGCTTGTGTCCTTTGTTCTACATTATTCTACAATATTCTATGAACAGAGGCGACCTTAACCGGCACTGCTTTTCCTAACCGGCACCGCTAGAGCCGGCACTGACACGCGAGTACCTGTCCTCGAAGGCATGCAGGTTCAGAAAAAAAAAAGCCAGGTATGCAATACCATTTTGCACGTGAGATATAAATCAAGGAAATGGAAAAAAAACTGTACTAGATGGGCATTCAAAGCCGTGAAAAGAGGGATTCTCATATTCTTTTACATAACTTACTGAAGAGAACTTTCTATCCCGTACACGTAACGGCGCTGGTGTCATTCTTAAACCTGCCTTATTTGTTATATATCCAATTCTTTAATATAAATTAACTCCTCAACATTATTGGGTTTCTTTTTGTGTACAAAAATAATTATTAATAAATTTGATCTCGTAATTCTGAGTATTACGTGTTTCGTACTTTTGATATGAATTTTAATTCATATTAGGCGCCTCTGAATATCGAATCAACATGGCGGACTACAATCATCTCAAGTCTCAAGGCGTGGGCGCTCCGCTAAACACGCGTTTGAAAGTTTAATGCAGAGATGAGTTGGGAGACGGATAAACGCTCGAAACCGCTCTGAAAATGATCGAGGATCGCTCGAAAACATTAAAAAACGGTCGAAAGACGCTCGATAACGCTTGAAAACACTCGAAAACGCTCTAACAACACTCGAAAACACTCCAAAACGCTCGAAAAATGCGTGAAAACGCTCGACAACGATCGAAAACACTAGAATATCACTCGATAACACTCGAAAACGCTCTGAAAATGCGTGAGAATGCTCGAAAACGCTGTGAAAATGATCGAGAAACGTTCGAAAACTGTCCAAAAACGCTCGATAACGCTATATAACGCTAGATAACGCTCGAAAATGTTCGAAAACTTTCAAAAACGCTATAGAAATGCTTGAAAACGCTCGATAACGCTAGTAGGGAAATGTAAAAATCATACGCGAAATGCTTATATCCGCAGTTAAGTAAGACTCGGGAGGATTTTTCGCAGTATTTGACTCTCACGCATATTCGTCGAGTGTAGCGCCGAATGCAAACATACTCAACGTCTCGACCCGTAGCTTGGCGCTTGGCTGGTTGGGACGCGCGAAGATTTCTAGCACTGATCGCACTCACACAGATTCGCTGCATGAGAGTTCCGTGCGCGACATCGACGCGTGCCCAAAAGCTCCGCATCACGTCGACTTTGCGGCAACAATGTAGTTAATAGCAGTAGATAAGTAGATAAAGTCAAATGGAGCGTCACGAGTGTTCTTCCCTTANTTACACTGTCCACTTCAGACATCTAGTATCTAAATGGGTACCTAACCATTTAACACTACAATATCTTGCACCACACGGTATACATGTATAGTTATTTGGAAAGCCACACACTGAACGAAACTGTCTATCTGGAAAACGTGAAGGGCGAGCTTGGGCCGAAGAATAATTTGGCGTCGACGGTGTACAGTTCTCTTCGTCTACTAGCTGAGCAAATGTTTTACAAAATCGTTGTTTGTAATATTCTGCAGAACGAGTTTTTTTCTTTCTGGCTATGTTTCTGTTGTCTAATGTCTCTTGAAATTTTGGGGCCTTCTTGCTCATAACTGAAAGTAAAAATTGTATTAATAGTTTAAACGAGGTAATTGGCAGATTAAACATAAATGAATTAAAAACTTACCCAAGTCTGCATGGGGATCATCATGAAAATTATCTTGTTCCAAAGCTTCCAAAGCCTTCCTCAGTCTACGTTTGCGTGCAGCATCATCCAGGACTCGTTTCTGTTGCGCATCTTTTATTCTGCCAGATTCTCGCGCAGCCATCTTTATTGTGTGAGAAAGTCCAGCTAATATTCTTTTCGATCCACTTAAATGAGTTTCGTTTGCATTTAAACTCCTTTCTCAGCTAGAGGGAAAGATATTTGATCCATAAGATCATCAACTTTTGTTTGAAGTGTGTCCAAAATATCAGAAGATATAAAAAGATGTCTTTCGTCAAGATCTTGAATAATGAATTTCCTTCCCAGAGCAAATGTTTCGTCCAAATGTAGAAGAAATTGCTTCATAGCTGAATCGCTAAGAAAATATACATCAATTATCAGAAATGATTCCATACGTTTTTGACAATGCATGTATAATTATAGGATGTCTAAACGTAAAGGAGTATCTGTAGATGAGAAGAGGCTACGGATGTTACAACTATTATACGAGAAGAAGGAATTTTTCACTTTGAAAGAATTAGAGAAAATTGCTCCTAAAGAAAAAGGTATTGTGGTTCAATCCGTCAAAGATATTCTACAAGCATTAGTCGACGATGCACTGGTCCGTTCCGACAAGATTGGCACTTCCATTTATTATTGGACTTTTCCTGGGTAAGATTTATTAAAAAAAATGTAGGGAATTAATTTCAAACATTAACAGATTCATTTTGTACATAATAACTAGAGAAAACATTGCCGCTGTTGAAAATCAAGTCGCAGAAGCAAACAGAAAAATTGTAGAGACTGAATTTAAGTTCGAGAGACTAAAAAGTGAATGTGACAGAGAACAGGTACTGCAATCGACCATGTATTTTTGTTATCAATTACACCTATTGAACAAGCTCTTTTGATCAAAATTGTCATTTAGATTGGAAAAGAGGATACAAAAGAAAGACGAAATTTAATCGCAGAGGTTGAAGAGTTAAAGAAGAAAAAAGAGCGATTAAAAGTACAAATTGCAAAATTCAATGCATCAGATCCTGAAGTTATATCCGAGATGGAAAAGAAATCATTGGTAATCATTTTTTGTTAATTAAAAAGTGAAGTAAGATAAATATTTAACAGTTATTGCTTTTAAGGAATACAAGGAAACTGCAAATGTATGGACGGATAATATTTTTGCCATACAAAGCTGGTGCAAAAAAAAGTTTGACATAGCTGAAGAAGAGTTAAATAAGCGTTTTAACATTCCTGAAGATTTAGACTATAAATAGTAAAAATATAGAAAAAAAACATGTGGCATTTATATACTCATATATGCTATTCTACTGTTCTTTACTACCGTATGAACTTGAAAATAATTACATTATTAGACTTTATAGAAAATTCATTAACTAAATAATAAAGATTAAAGCAATCATTTTCTTTCCTCACCATTCCACTAGGACACCTTTCATAACATTTACCATAGCGAAATAATATCTTTGCTTTTCATGAGAGTAAAACTTCACTGTTTCTAACGATGTGCATTCATACGTGTTCATACGTATACACCTGGTATACAAAACTGTTAATTGGAGGTTAGGTGACACAATCGCATTGATTTACCAATGAAGAAGTTTGGAAAAATATAAGTAAAAACGGAGACGAGTTGGAACGTAGCCGAGCATACAGGTCTTAAGACTCCTGCTAGGAGCGATCGCGTCTTGATTCCATCTTTAGTTCTTGCAATTGCTACTGTTCGGCGCTACAATAGAGTAAGGACATAGAATAGTGATAATACCAGATACTTATCCAGAGATGAGTTGGGTGATTGCTTACGGGCAGGATCGTGTGATCGCATCCTGTGCTGCCCTCTGATTTCGTACGTTAGCTTTAACCGTTTTTTGCCCCCAAGGGCGGCGCAACGAATTTCTGATAGGAGCTCGCGCACTCGAGATGGCGGTGCCGAAAGCTAACGTACGAAACCAGAGGGCAGCATAGGATGCGATCGCACGACTCTGCCCGTGAGCAATCTCCCAACTCATCTCTGGTACATACACACATACACTACCCTCTTTCAGTTTCTACAACTGTGGTTACATTGACTTTCTTCCATTACCCCACCTGGGAGCTAGAAACGTATCTGGAGAAACATGCAATTGACAATGCGGATACAAACTAGCTTATTATTGGTTCTGTTTTAATTCCGAATGGACGCCATACGTGTGCTGTTCAAGTTGCGCACTCGTACACCTCGCGCATGCGCGTTACAGCTGTATTTTGCTTTTACGTTGACGTCAGTTTTTTTCCTGCTTAACGCGGCAGAAAGACTCGAGGTCGTTCGTTGATTTTCTTCGTGTGCGATAAATTTGTGACTCAAAGAAATTCGAAGAAAGTAGCCGTGCTGTTTTCTTTCTAGTTTGTAAAAATCGCGCGGGTAACCATCGAGTAACGACGGAAAACGTATAACCCTCAGAGTCCCTCGGGGGTGTATCGTTGCAACATGCAGAGTCAAGAGGAAGGCAACGATGGTACGTGAAAATTATGCTAATACTGTTTGTAAAGTATCAAAATTACACGTTCCTCTTTTCTTAGTCGGTTATCAATTTTTATACCTACGTTTATATATAAGAATTTGTTATAAAACAAGTTTCTAAAATGCAAGTTGGAGATAACCTAAATTCGGGGAGAAATGTAATATATATATTATCACTGCATTGTAGACTACAAAATAATATGTAGTTTATTCATTTCATTTTTTTTTTTGTTTGGATGATAATATGGATTGGTTGTGAACCCAAATTTTGTTAATCATAGGATCTCCGTGGAATAATTCAAGTGGCTGTGAAGAAGAGAGACGACCAAATCCAAAGGAAGGAAAGAAATCAAACATTCTACCACTATGGGGTAACGAAAGGACTATGAACTTAAATCCCTTGATTTTGACGAATATACAATCGTCACATTACTTCAAAGTTAATTTATACGAACTGAAGACGTACCACGAGGTCATCGACGAGATTTACTATAAAGTATCTCACTTGGAACCTTGGGAGAAGGGTAGCCGGAAGACTGCGGGACAAACTGGGATGTGTGGAGGCGTGAGTATGTCTTTACAACAGTATCTTTTGATGATCTGATATTTAAATATATTATCTCGCAAAATGTGGTTGTATAAATTAAGGGAATTCAAAGTTACTTTATTTGATAATTATCATGTTATTATGTGTAACAGCTTGTATTCTATAGAGCTTCCTTCCCTTAGAGCTTTTGAAATATATGCTTTAGGCGACCAAAGCTAATATTTAATTCATGTAGTGATGACATATAATGTTCGATATATGCCCTGCTTGTAATAAGAAAGTTATGTAGTTATAGTACTACTATAAATACCCATACATTAAAATAGGAGAATTAGCTGTTTTATTATATTATGTCATTTGGTGACTGAAATATTAGCTGAATTATATTAATTCGTTAGATACAGTTATAATGGTAAAATACTACTTTGCTTAGGCTAGTTTCTAGTCTGCATACTGCAAGAAATTTCTGAAGGGGAATCCACCTAATGGACAAGCTTGGAAGGTCTTGCACCTATCCACAGGCAAAGCTAGTATTGTTTGTTCATCAACATTAAACATTTTGAATGGTATTGTAATTCTCTCTAGAATTCTTCTTGCAAGCAAAGCATTATCATATAACAACGTTTACGTATTACAGAGTAGCATGTTATCGGTCGACCTAACATACTGTAATGCGGACGTGATTAACTGACTCAGGGGGGTGTAAATTTAGCGGTTCATGCAGGTGCGTGGTGTCGGAGCTGGCGGTATCGTGTCAACGGCGTATTGTCTCCTGTATAAGCTGTTCACCTTGAGGTTGACTCGGAAACAATTAAATGGACTCATCAACCATCCGGATTCACCTTACATTCGAGCGCTTGGCTTCATGTATATTAGGTAATTATGCAATGACTAAATAAGAGTAACTATAAATGAGATTGACTTTGATTTAACACGTATCATTTTTATGCAGATACACACAACCGCCAGCAGACTTATTCAGCTGGTACGATGAATATTTAGAAGACGAAGAGGAACTGGATGTGAAAGCTGGTGGTGGACAAGTCATGAAAATGGGTGACATTTTAAAGCAATTCCTCACAAAACTGGAATGGTTTTCTACTCTCTTCCCAAGAATCCCAGTTCCCATTCAAAAGGATCTCGAACATCGACTTGGGGAAAGGTTTCCTCAACAGACTGCAAATGCACGCAATGCAAAGCCTCCAATTACGTTAAACAACCATGGAAAGTATAGTAACAGTATGAACTCGAGCAGAAAAGACAACGGGAACTTGACGGCTCGCAATCAACAACCACGACATATTCCAGACAGCGAAGCGCAGTGGGGTGAAGCTGAGAGAACGAGTCAGTGGCGAGCCAGGTGCGTCTACGTGGTATGAATGAAATCACGTTACTAATTACTATAATGTATTTCACTAATGTTCTGTCACCTTGTTAGGAAATCGGGTGAAGAGTAATGGCGTACCACTTCTGGTCTTAAAGTTTGTTCATGGCTCTGTTTTGTTTTGCACACACGTGCCTTTTTGTTAGGGTGGCAAAAGCATACGTATAGTGGTACCTATCAGTGCTCATCATGCTTTAATTTATTCTTAAGCCTCATCTAAAGCATTCATCATCGATACTTCCTTGGTGGCCGTGACGTTTCAGATCCAGTGAAGACCGTAAGGACAAATATAGGGATCGGGAACGAGACAGAGCCAGGGAACGAGACAGATCGAGGGAACGAGAGCGAGACAGAGCGAGGGAGAGGGACAGAGAAAGGGACCGTGAAAGGGAACGAGAACGACATGTCAAGAGATCCACAAGCCGAGACAGGAGTAGGAGGCAAAAGGACTACAGGAGTAGAAGCCGAGATAGGTCTCATAGAGATCGTAGCAGAGATCGTCATCGAGACAGAGAACGGTGTCGAGATCGGTGTGTACTCTGTAATATGCAGAACGAACTAACAATTTGAATATTTAAACATGCATTTTTTTCTACGTTCTTATCTTTATATTTATAACTTTCAGAAGAAATTCACCCGTCGACTATGCTGCAGAACTTGTCCGGGAACGAGAAAGACAACGAAGAGATTGACGGTGCTGTCGATGACGGTGTTTACCATAAGTGTTTGTACAAGTGTAACTATTAAGACGAAGACGTGAAGTTAGGGAGCCGAGCCATTTTACGCGACTGCGATTGGGAAAGGAACTACGAGAAGCGATGTTAGCCTAAAGTTTAATCGATACTATCTATCATGTAGTTTACATGTTTTTATAAAATAAATTCTCAAACTTAATGAGAGATTCATTCACGGAGTCGCAAAGATTTCCTTAAATTTTTATTTAATACCAGGAGATATCAAACCATATATGCAGAGATGAGTTGGGAGATTGCTCACGGGCAGGGTCGTGCGATCGCATCCTATGCTGCCCTCTGGTTTCGTATGTTAGCTTTCGGCACCGCCATCTCGAGTGCACGAGCTCCTATCAGAAATTCGTTGCGCCAGCTTGGACGAGTACTAGCGTTATCGAACGTTTTTAGGCGTTTCTAGAGCGTTTTTGATCGTTTTCGAACGTTTCGAGCGTTCTCGATCATTTTCAGAGCGTTTTCACGCTTTTTCGAGTGTTATCGAATGATATTCTAGTGTTTTCAATCGTTATCGAGTGTTTTTCGAGCGTTTTTGAGCGTTATCGAGTGCCGTAGAGTCCCGTAGTGTCCCGTAGTGTTCCGTAGAGTCCCGTAGTATCCCGTAGAGTGGCCGTAGAGTGCCCGTAGAGTGCCGGTAGAGTGCCCGTAGAGTCCCGCAGAGTCTCGTATAGTCCCGTATAGTCCCGTACAGTCCCGTATAGTCACGTAGTGTGCCCGTATAGTCCCGTATAGTCCCGTATAGTTCCGTATAGTCCCGTACAATCCCGTATAGTCCCGAATAGTCCCGAATAGTCAAATGGAATCCCGTAGAGTGTCTAGTGTTTTCAATCGTTATCGAGCGTTTTTCGAGCGTTTTCACGCATTTTTCGAGCGTTTTCGAGTGTTATTGAGCGATATTCTAGTGTCTTCGATCGTTATCGAGCGTTTTCACGCGTTTTTCGAGCGTTTTCGAGCGTTATCGAGCATTTTCGAGCATCATCGACCGTCTTTCGAGCGTTGTCAAACGTTATCCAGCGTTTTTCGACAGTTTTCGAACGTTTTCGAGCGTTTCTCGATCATTTTCAGAGCGTTTTCGAGTGTTATTGAGCGATATTGTAGTGTTTTCGATAGTTATAGAGCGTTTTTCGAGAGTTTTCACGTGTTTTTCGATCGTTTTCGAGCATCTTGAGCGCTTTCAAGCGTTATCGAGCGTTATCGATCGTTTTTTCGAGTGTTTTTGAACGTTTTCGAGCGTTTTTCAAATGTTTCCGAGCCTTATCGCAGGCCGTACAGTGCCGTTGAGTGTTGTTAAGTGCCGGAGAGTTGCCGGAGAGGGCCGGAGAATTGCCGGAGAGTGTCGGAGAGTACCGGAGAGTGCCGGAGAGTGCCTGAGTGTGCCGGAGAGTTGCCGCAGAGTGCCGGAGAGTGTCGGAGAGTGTCGGAGAGTTGCCGCAGAGTACAGGAGAGTGCCGGAGAGTGCCGGAGAGCGCCGGAGAGTGCCGGAGAGTGCCGGAGAGTGTCGGAGAGTTGCCGCAGAGTGCCGGAGAGTGCCGGAGAGAACATTATATTGCATTAAAGTGCATTAGAGTGCATTACAGCACTATCATAAGAGTGCTCTAATGCACTCTAATTATGGTACTCTAATTAGAGTGCTGCAGCGCTATCGTTAGAGTGCTCTAATGCACTCTAATCATGGCACTCTAAATATAGTGCTAATAACGGCCCTCCAACAGTGGCACTCTGATTAGAGTGCTAATTAAGGAACTCTAATTAGAGTGTTACTGCACTCAAATGCACTTTAATGCAATATAGTGCACTCTTCGGCACTCTAATTAGAATGCACTCTAGGGCTCTCTAGGGCTCTCTAGGGCACTCTATGGCACTCTAGGGCACTCTAGGGCACACTACGGCACACTACGGCATTCTATGGTACTCTAGGGCATTCTAGGGCACACTACGGCACTCTCCGGCACTCTCCTGCACTCTCCGGCAGCTGTGCGGCACTCTGCGGCAACTCTCCGGCACTCTCCGGCAGTCTGCGGCAACTCTCCGGCACTCTTCGGCACTCTGCGGCAACTCTCCGACACTCCTCGGCACTCTCCGGCAACTCTCCGGCAACTCTCCGGTACCTCTCCGGTACTCTCCGGCACTCTCCGGCACTCTCCGGCACTCTGCGGGACTCTGCGGCAACTCTCTGGCAACTCTCCGGCACTCTCCGGCATTCCCCGGCCCTCTGCGGCACTCCGCGGCACTCTCCGGCACTCTACTGCACTTAACAACACGCAACGGCCTTCGATAAGGCTCGAAAACACTTGAAAAACATGCGAAAACGATCGATAACGCCCGAAAACGCTCGAAGAACGCTCGATAATGCTCGAAAAAGCTCTAAAAACGCGTGAAAACACTCGAAAAACGCTCGATGACGCTCGAAAACCGATCGGTAACGCTCGATAATGCTTTAAAACGCTCGAAACCACTCTGAAAATGATCGGGAGACGTTCGAAAACGGTAGAAAAACACTCGATAATGTTTGAAAATACTCGAAAACGCTCGATAACGCTCTAAAACACTCGAAAACGGTCGAAAAACGCGTGAAAACGCTCGAAAAACGCTCGATAACGATCGAAAACACTAGAATATCACTCGATAACACTCGAAAACGCTCTGAAAATGATCGACAAACGCTCGAAAAGTTTCGAAAACTGTCGAAAAACGCTCTATAACACTAGTAGGGAAATGTAACAATCATACGCGAAATGACTCGGCTTTATATTCGCAGTTAGGTAAGCCTCGGGAGGATTTTTCGCAGTATTCGACTCTCACGTATATTCGTCGAGTGTAGCGCCGAATGCACATATACTTAACATCTCGACCCGTAGCTTGGCGCTTGGCTGGTTGGGACGCGCGAAGATTTCTAGGAGCGATCGCACCCACGCAGATTCTCTGCATGAGAGTTCCGTACGCGACACCGTCGCGTGCCCCAAAGCTCCGCATCACGTCGACTTCGAGGCAACAATGTACTTAATAGCAGTAGACAAGTCGATAAAGTCAATTGGAGCGTCACGTA